GAATAGTTTTATTGAAATATAGCCATACCCATTCATTACAATTTGCATATCGTGATTGCATACTTTCTATGGCTGCTTATGTGCTTTAAAAGCGGGATTGAGTAGTTTGGGACAGAGACGGTGGGGCTTGCAAAGCCTAAGATATTTCTTATGGATTTCTGTATAGAAAAGCTTGCTGACCCCTGTTCCTCCTGGGGAGTGTTAGGTACTTAATTAACGTTGATCGTTTCACCTCTCAAATGGAGAAGTGGCTTCCTTGTGGTTTTTTCTCTAAGATTTTACAGGCCTTGTAAATATCACACTGTCACATGCAGTCTTGGCCTTGGAAGGGCTGGTGTGGTGTTAGCAGTGGAGCAAGGACCAAGAACCGAGTGTCCCAGTCCTGGCTCTGTCCCCCTGTGTGACCTTCAGGACTTCCCTCTGGGCTGTGAATAGTGGGTTGAGTAATGTCCCCCTCAAAATTCATATCCACCAGAAACCTCAAAATGTGACCTTATTTGAAAATAGGGTCTTTGCAGGGGTAGTTAAGATAAGGTCGTATTAGATTAGGGTCTGTGCTAACACCAATGGATGTAGTGTCATTGTAAGATGAGGAAAAGACACAGGAAAGAAGGCCATGTGACAATGGCGACAGAGATTAGAGTGATGCAGCTACAAGCCAAGCAATGCCAAGGGTTGCCAGGAGCCATGGGAAGCTATGAAATGGCAAGGAAGGAGTCTCCCCTTGAGCCTGCAGAGGAAGGATGGCTCGGCTGACACCTTGAATTTGGACTTCCAACCTCCAGACCTGGGAGAGAATGAGTTTCTGTTGTTTTCAGAGGCCCAGGTTGTGGCACTTATTATGTCAGCTCTAGGAAACTAATGCACCCTGTTTTCCCCTTCCATCTCCACACGATTGAGCATATTGTGGCATGCACGCATGCCAGGAGGCAGCGTTAGGAGGTCTGCGGGGGCTGCACAGGCTCTGCCCTCCAGTTCTGCCTCCTCAAAGACACAGATTTCTACAGGCTTTCCTGTTCTGAGAGCTGCCTTAGAGAACACTCAAGACCTGACTCAGGCAGACAGGCACCCCCGCCTCACTAGACCTGTATGAACCAAGATGAGTGACATATCTCCCCAAGACCCAGCTCCTGCAGCTGCACGGTGGGAGTGAAAATGCACAGCTCCGAAGGCTCTGGGGACAATCAATGAGGCTGCACTGGCAGGTCACCCAGCACAGCAGTGCTCAGGAATTCACAGATGAAGAACATGATGGCGATGAGGATGGTCATTTCCGGCCAAGCTGGGACGCTCCCCCAGATCTCCCTGTCACCCTAGCTTGCCTCCACCCTCAGTGCCATTTCCTTGATTCCTTGGCCCCCTGCGATTGTAGTGGGACAGCTCTAAGGTCAAACAGGCCCCGAATCCTGGACTCAGCAGGCCGAAGCGGGGATTGAGTCCTGAGCTAAAGAAAGAGCCAGTGTCTGCCTGGAGCCCCTTCTCTCACTTGGGCTCAGGTTCTTCATTTTCCCAGCTCGACACAATCACTTCTCTAGGCAGTAACAGCCCCTAGGTCAGGTCTTTGTGTTTTAAGTAATATTCCCTTCATGGAACTGGTGCTGATGCAGAATCTATCCTTTTGAAAGCTCATGGCCTCCTTGTCTGGATAGCTTAAGCTGTCTCCAAGTTCCACTGGATGGTGGCATTTGTTGGCTTCTTTTTCTCTCCCTTTGTTTCTCTCTGGTGTTCTGCCCCTGCTCTCCCTGTCCCTGCGTTGTCCTTTCCTGCTCACGCTGTGTCTGTATCTTCATTCTCTATCTTTCTGCCATCTCCCCCGTCTCCCTCTCCTCTCCCGCCCTTCCTTCTCCTCCACACGTGCACATGTGTTCTATCTTCATGGTTTCTCCTTATTAAATCGCTATGTTTCTTACTTCTGTTTCTCCCACTCCATCTTTGTCCTAATCTAGCTTTCATTGTTGTATCTGTCACGTGCTTTCTATGCTTCTATCTTCCTCTCTTTTAATTTCTCTCCATATGATACTCTTCTGGCTCTCTCTCTCTCTCTCTCCCTATTTGTCTATCCATCCATCCATCCATCTCTATCTATCTATCTATCTATCTATCTATCTATCTATCTGTCTGTCTGTCTGTCTGTCTGTCTGTCTATCTATCTATCTGTCTGTCTGTCTGTCTGTCTGTCTGTCTGTCTATCTATCTATCTATCTATCTATCCATCCATCTATCCATCCATCCATCCATCCATCCATCTATCTATCCATCCATCCATCCATATTCTTCTGGATGATTGTGTTTCTGCCTCTCAGTTGCTCCTCTTTCTGGCAGTTTCTCTACATGTTGATCTCTTTTCTTGCTCTCACATTTTCTCAAGTTGTCTCTCCCTCTGTCTTTATCTCCTCTCACTTCCTACTTATTCTTCTCGCCCTCATGATACCGATATTTTAGTCACCTGAATGTAGCCCCAGGATCCTCAACTCTTTGCGTGATTCAAAAGTGACAGGTCTGCCGAGGGCAGCAGTTCAGGAACTGTTCACTCTCTTCCCCCAGCCCCCTGTCACCCTGACCTCACTCTGCACACAGTAGGAAGTGAGGGTAATCTGGCTGCTCTCCCAGTGCCTTCTTCTTCCTTCCTGTACTACAGCCCTGAGCAGAGAGGATTTGTAATAGGAACCCAGAGGTGGCGGTGGGCAGGGAGTGTCCTGTGTGAGACTCTTGGTAAAGCTACTGACGGGGCAGAGACTGCACCCATGCCTTCTGGAGTTGTGTTACATTAAAAAAGACATTATCTATCACAGGTTCTTACCAGGCCTTGTGCTGGGGCTAAGGAAGGATGAGTGAATCTCAAGCTTAAAAAAGCTCAAAAAGCTTACAATCTCTCTGGGAAACGGTAGTGCTGATGATTAAGATGAATGAGATAATAGATTTAAACAATGTACTCAAAGCAAAGAGGGATTAATTCTGGTTGGGAGAAATAGAGAAGGTTTCACAAAGGAGCTCATAGTAAGCTCTGTGGAGGTAAGGACCCTGGCCAGCGTCACTGCTGCATTACCAGTACCTAGAATAGTGCCTGGTAGTCAGTAAGCACATGTGGTGAATGAATGAATGAATGAATGAATGAATGAATGAATGAATTTGAACAGTATTTAAGGAGTCTTTGTAATTTGTCAGGGAGAAAAGTTAGAGATGAGCATTCTAGACAGAGCAGCATGACTGAGGATTCAGAAAGGTGAAGGCACACAGTGCAGCCAGATCCCCTCTTGAGGGCCAAACCATCTATCCACAAGATCATGGCTGATGGCCCACAGCGGTGTCTTTACTGGGCATTGCCTCCAGTGACAGGGAACGGCCTCACCCAAGGATACGCCTTTCCAGATGGCAGCCCTTGTCCATTGACTAGCTGACATAGAAATACAAAGGCCTGGATCTCTGGCCACCATGAGGGACATCTCTAAAGGGCCATCCCAACTGCCCCAGAGCTCAGGACCAGCTGAGGCTTCAGATCTACATGGCATCAGCCACACTGCAGGCCAGCCTCTGCCTTGCCCAGTCCCACCTTGCTCACTTCCTCTGGTGTATCCCAAGAGGGCTTCTTGTTAACCCACCTATATGCAACACCCCTGTTTCAGAGTCTGTTTTCAGGGAAACTGACCGAAGATTGTGAGTTTAGAGGATGAGCAGAGGCCTGTGGATAGCAGACAGTGAATATGAGGATAAGGTCACAGTAGCTAGACAGGTCAGCAGGGACCAGATTACACAGGATCTTGAAAGCCAAGGAAACTAGTTTAGATTGTCTTCTATAAGTGATGGAGTGCTATTGATCAGTGGGGCATCTAATTAGAGCTGGAATTAAACAAGTTCACTGGCAAGTCAGTGTGAAAGATGGGACAGAAAGCCATGAGACTAGAGACAAGGGATAAGCTGGGAGATCAAACCTGGAGCCCGAGGAGGGAAAGAATGCGAGAGATGAAGGGTGGTCCAGAGACATCACCAGCAGTGCTCGTTGGCCTCTACTTGTGGCATGTGCATATACAGGCATCTCTCCTCTTTCACAGTTCTGGATTCCACAGGTCACATATAACAGAAGAATACAGTGCTTCTTCTCACTGCCAATGGCACCCCTTCAATATCTCTTCTAACCGGGGGCATCTTACATACTCCAGTGCTAGCATGTTCCTTTATGAACCTTTCTCCAGGAAACAGCATCCAGAAAGTTCCATCTGTATCTCTCACCTAATAGAATTTTGAAAGGTCCATTAATTATGATACCTAGTCCAGTTTTATCTCTTGGGAATCTCATTTGGGAGGAACCATTCCTTTGCCTAGGGTACCATGACTTTCCCAGCAGCTGTTGTTACCAGCTTTGATGGTGTGAGTTGTAAATAATATTTAGGGCACTAGGATCAGGCAGTCCTGTGTTTGCGTCATAGGCTGTATAATTTGGGGTAAGTCCCACACCTTTCATAGTTTCAATTTGTAGCCACAAAGTCAGAATAGGAATGTGCCCATTTTGAAGAGTTGCTATGGGAAGGTCTGGAATCTGTAGAAACATATATAATGTAAAGGAAGGGTTGGGGAGTGGAAAGAGCTTTCTCTTTTAGACTCAGGTGGAGCTTGGCACCAGCTTCCATGCTGCTGCATTCCAAGCTGGGTGGCCTTCAGCAGGACACGTCACCATTCTGAGCCACAGTTCCCTTATTGGTAAAATGGAAATTGGATGCCTGCCTTCCAAAATTATGAAGATTAATGAAGGAAAGGGTGCAAAGTTCCAGGCACAGTCATATTTATCACTAGACAAACATGGTGTCATAGGATGGTAAACCTATTGGATATTTTTCTTTTTGTTGTTCTTTCCTTCGTATTTTCTTTTTAAATATGTTTTTGTATCATTTTCTTAACTCTAAATATAGTAAATGATCTCAAAGGTAATGAATGCACATTTAAATTAAAAAAAAATCTAATGATGCAGATGTCTCTGGGGTTTAACCGTTCCCTTTTTCTCCAAGGGAAGAAGCGATGCTGTCCACGTACTTTGAAACTATCAACGACCTGCTGTCTTCCTTTGGGCCCGTCCGTGACTGCTCTCGGAACAATGGGGGCTGCACTCGGAACTTCAAGTGCGTGTCCGACCGCCAGGTGGACTCCTCGGGATGTGTGGTAAGTGCCCATTGACTCATGAGTTTGGTGCCGGCCCAAGGTGCCGAGGAGATTTGCTGGAGGCCTCTTCCTGCGAGGGGTAGCTGGTCAGGCAGGATACACTGCTCATTACTGCTGCCCCTGTGGCCTCTGGCATACCAGGCTGCCTCGGTTTCCTCATCTGTAAAGTGGGACAATTAAACCTACTTTGTAGAATCATTGAAAGAATGAAAGAAGATATTAGAACTTCAGTATACAATAGGCCCTTGAGAGCCCCTGGCTTCAGAGAGCTTGCCTCTCATTTGGGAATGGGGTAGGGCATGGCATGTCTTATCTCTATTAACATAACGGGGGGAACATGTCAATGCCACGCCTGGAAGAGACAGTTTCCACTGAGACCTAAGGATTGTAGAAGGCGTCCTGGGGAAGTTGGTGTTGTTGGAACTGGTTTCAAACGGTAGGCCACTTACATTAGGAAGAGAGCAGGAATGGCTAAAGTGTGGAGGGAAGATGGCGAACTTGTTTGCATGGATGGAGCTTTAGTATCGGATGTGGGATGAGGACACAGAAGACATGTGAGGACCTTTGTTACCTGTAGAAGAGGGTGTCAAACGGGGCAATTTGTTTTATAGGAACGACCTAGGGTACTTGTTTAAAATGTAGATTCCAGGATCCCACACCAGGAATTTTGTTTCTATAGAGGGCCTTAGGTCCCAGGAACCTGAATTTATAATAATTTAATGAGTATGTTTACCTGTGGGGGAGTCGGGGGGCGTGTCTTGAAAGCTGACTTGGGAACCACTGTCCTACAGGCTAAACTGTTCAGCCTGGCATTCAATGCCCTTCTTGATGTAGCCCTTTCCAGCCTCTCTATAAAACTACTTCTTTTCCCACTAGAGACAAATGGAGCTAATTAGAGGTAGTTCTCTGAACATACTTGCCTGTTTGATGCCTTGGAGCCTTTGCTCGTGCTGTTCTTTAACTAAAGCGACTTGCTCCCCTAGCCCATGTAGCACATGAGCGGCGGACCTTTTTCCAGATTCACCTCCTTTATGAAGCCCTTCCATCCTCCACTTGCAGTGACTGCTCTTCTAAGGATCATTGCTGTTTTCTGCACTTACATCGATTATATCACCTGTGATAATTGGTAGCACAGGATGGCTTTTTTCAAGTTTATGTCACTCAATTAGAGGGAGAACACATGGCGTTAGTTGATTCAGCTCAGCACCCCAGTAGTCCCCATCTCAGTAAATAAGGGAGAAAGAAGGGAGAGAGGGAGGGAGGGAGGGGTGAGGCTGGGAACGGAAGCTCCCACTCTGGACTAGGCTCCCAGGAAGAGTAAGCTGTCAGTTCTTAAGGTGCCAACACGGCAACTGGGAAATAGACAATGGCCAGGAGACCCACACAAAGAAGAAGCTTCTAGAGAATGAGGTAATGCAATGAAACTGTATTTTAGACTCAAAGATCCACAGATCTTCAGAGATGGATGGGCAATTGGATATTTTACTGATTAGAATTCTTAGGATTGAAAGTGACAGAAACTCAACTCAAATTAGTTTCGGCAAGAAGAGGAAATGTTTTGGCTTAAATGGAAGTCCGATGATGATAGGACTGAAGGGCTCAAACAGCGTCACCGGGGTCCCTCTTCTTCTCTTAGCTCTGCTTTCCTCAGCACCATGCCATTCTCTGGCCAGCTACACATATATCTCCCCCTCCCGCCTCCCCCCACTCAATGAGTCCTGAAGCCAAGAACATCTCTCTCCTAGTTCCTCCAACTAAAGTCACAGGGTTCCATCTCATTGGGCCAACTTGGTTGTCATGCCAATCCCTGCACCGATCAGTGTGGTCAGGGAGCAGGACAGGGCTTATCCCAGAATCAGTCATACCTGGGGCTTGGGCCAAGTGGTAGCAGCCTAAAATGTAGGTAGTGAGTTGGCGGTAAGGACAAGTAGGATTCTAGCAACAGGAAGGGGGGCTGTGGATGTACGCTGGTATGTGTCAGCAGGTGCCTACTTCACGGGATCGCAGTGCAACCGTTTATTTGCACATTGGAAAAGTGAGGCCCAGTCAGGGAGAGGATCTGCCCACGTCTTAGAGCTAGGCAGTGGACACACACCTCCAAACGATGTCCCAAATCATCGGCGTTGTCTCCAAAACATGAGGCTGATATTTGTGAAAGAATTAAGTTGTCTGTCTCTTTTCCTTTTCTCTCTCAGCTCTCTTTCCTGAACTATGTAATTAAGCTTTCTCCTTGAGGGTAGATGTCCCAGAAGAATGAAACCTCTGAATGCAGAGGAGTGTGTGTGTGTGTGTGTGTGTGTGTGTGTGTGTGTGCGCGCGCGCGCGCGCGCGTGCACAAGAATTGTCTCCTTTTCCTCTCATTAATGTAAACTGGAAAAATAAAGAGAGAGAGAGAGAAAGGACATTTGGTCCCTGGAGGTTAAGAGAAAATGCAACAGTTTGATGAGGCTGTCAGAGACCTCCCTCTCTAGATTAAGGATCTCATGTTAAAGCTGCAACTTCAGGGCTCGATGGATGCAAGGCAAGCTCTTTTCCATGAGTTCAGCATAGACAGGTAAATACCAGTTTTTACACTGAAATTTAAAATCTCATTTCTCTGTAGGCTCTCTGTCATGCCTTCCAAATGAAACTTGTTATCATAAACTCTATCTGGTAAATTATAATAATAATAGCAATAATAATAATAATAATAATAATAATAATAATGCCACCTTATATTTTAGAGCACTTTTGGAGTTCTCAAGGCATGTCTCCATCTAGTAGCTCATCTTCACATCAAACCTGGACAGCAGGTTTCCTCCCCAGTGTGGGCAGCAGACTGACTTTCCAAGGTTTTACCACTAGGTGGCAGGATGGAGGCCCAAGAACAGGTCTTCAATATTCTTGGACGTGCCAGAGCCATGTGGGTTGCTTTCCTGTGGTGCTGAGAGGAGATGGCAGCTGCGAACGTTAGAAAGAAAGTTAGTCTGAGTGAACTGGGGTTTTAAGCCCTGACTCGGTTATTGGAGGGCTTTTGCATCTACATTGCCCTCATTAGCCTCAGTTTCTTCATCTTTCAAAAGGAAACAATTGCTCTTGAACACATAGGTTTTCTAAAAAAAACTCAATGTAACTGTAAGGGATTTGGGATTTACAAAGTACCATTTATGCATGCAATGGTGAAACCACAATTACGGGTGTTTTTATGGAGCGAGGCCACAAAAATGCAGGAGCACAGCATCTTTTATTTTCTTAAATGTTTCTCTAAGAGAATTTCATTTCTGTTCTACTCCATTAATTGGTAGTGGAAACTTAATTCTAGTCAGTTTAGATTTTCTGCTTCGTACCTCTTCCTGACTCTGAGTTCAAGGGGGCTGATGCATGCCTGAGACATGGAGATAAGGGGATGGTTTGTGCTGGACCATCACCTATCAGTTCTAGCACCTGCTGTCTCACCTGACCCTTGTCCATCACTCTCTTTCCTTCCTGGCATATGCCAGGACCTCTCTGTTCCCATATGATTTATAGGTATGAACTCCGTTCTGGCATCTGCGGCCATGTTCTTCATCCTTACCCCAAGGTCATTTGAGTCCAGCCGGCTCTGTCCATCAGCTAGCTTTCCCTCCCTACTGAGGTCATGAGGAATGTCCAACAGCTATTATTCACCAACCTGAGATCATAAGGATCTGAGGGGGGCTGGCTGAAGCCCTCTTGATCTAGACAGGCCACAAAGGCATGCATAGGTGGCTGCTTTCATGCCAGAGGGAGCACTTGACCATGCTTGCCACCCACCAGATGGTATCTTATCTGGCAAGTGGGGCACTTTATGCTCTTCTTAGTCTGGTGGGAATAGAGCACAGGATCTGTTTTAAGGATATCCACCAGCGTTTAAAGATCATCTTGTTTGACTTCGAATATTCCTGTCTTCCCTTAGACCACATGATCCTTGTGGGTGGGAGGGAGGCCACTTCTCTATCAGATCACAGGTTCTCCTCCTCCTCCTCCTTCTCCTTCTTCCTTATTATTATTATTGTTATTATTACTTTCCAGTTAGACCTCATATTCTGAACCACTACCACCCCCCAAAAAAAGAAATTATAAAATATAAGACTTCTTAGCTTGGTTTTCTGGTGCTGTGGTAGTCTTCCCCTTGGAATAATGTGGTCCTCAGGTATGTATTTGCCCAAAGTAGGGAGGGTCATAGGGTGTGTCATAGGTAGAACAAGGATGTGACACATGATAATGCCTGGAACCTGTGAATATGTTGCCTTACACAACCAAGGGGGCATTAAATTATCATATGGAATTAAGGTTGTTAATAAAGAGATTTTAAAGAGAGAAATTATCCCAAAATACCAGGTGGGCCCAATGTAATCACATAATCCTTAAATATGAAAGAGGGAAGCAGCAGAAGAATTCAGAGTAATGCAACATAGCTAGCTTTGAAGGTGAGTAAGGGGGTTACAATCTAAGGGAAGTCTCTAGAAGTTGGAAAAGCCAAGGAAATGGATTTCCCTCGCAGCGGTTCTCAACCTTCCTAATGCTGCGACCCCTTAATACAGTTCCTCATGTTGTGGTGACCCCCAACCATAAAATTATTTTCGTTGCTACTCTATATCTGTAATTGTGCTACTGTTATGAATCGTAATGTAAGTATCTTTTTGTTTTCCGATGGTCTTAGGCGACCCCTGTGAAAGGGTCGTACGACCCCCAAAGGGGTCGCGACCCACAGGTTGAGAACCGCTGCTCTAGAGCCTCCAGGAAAGGAATGCAGACCTGCCCACGCCTTGATTTTAGCCCAGTGAGACTTTTAACTTATAGAAATGTAAAATAATAAACGTGTTGTTTTAAACCACAAGTGTGTGGTAATTAATTACAGCAGCAATAGAAAACTAATGCAGGGTGAATGACAATATGGAAAGGAAGGGTGATTCAGGAGATAGTATATAAAGAATTATTTTGCTGTTTTGATTTTCAGTTATTTCTAGGGAGACACTCACCTCCTGACCAGGAATGGAAGA